TGGGAGTAGTTATTGGCTTGAGGGCACTCCCTCCACCTTATAATTTGTTCATTAACTCTGTTTTTAATTTTGTTTCTTTTATATGATTTATAACTTTTATCTGTAAACCGCCTAGTCACTTAGCGATATGGGCAGTGTATAAATTTGAAAAATAATTTCTTCTGATTAAGATACCCAAGAACAGTTTAACTTATGGCAATGATGAAGTTAGATCATGTTTCTAAAGTTACATATGCAAGTGCATATATACAGATACACATACACAGATAAATGTGCCTATAATATCTTGTAATTTTATTTTTAGGTCTGCTTCTACAAAACAAACCTATAACTACTACATTTCTGATATGACCTTGAGTATTCTTGCTTAAATTACACGGATGCTCTCAAACACATAATCACCACTGATAAATGAAGTACTTCAGATGGCTGTAACTTATGTACTAATATACAAAAATTATTGTGAACACTTACAGAACTATGCAGAAAGATCAGACCCAATTAATTCATTTTGCTGACAGAAAAAAACTTTAATTAGTGCAAAGAGAAATGAGAAATCTTCAAATCTTCAGTCTTCAATATCCTCCCAAATATAATTCACTGAGAAGGAATATTCAGGGATTACACAGTCATATAAGGAAAGACAAAAGCGTAATCCTCTATTAACATTTTGGATTCTACCAATATAATTTTCTATATCTAAGAGAAAGACACTGTCACCATTGTTCATTTTGGAAAATTCATCACATGTGTGGACTTCAGCTCCTAGAAATTGGTATCCAACATCTAAAAATGCATAGGTCAGGGATAGCTACGGTATGTCTTTAAGACACATTATACATTTTAATAAACACTACAGTATTAAGGTTTCAAGAAAACCTTTCCTACAAAATGAAGAAGCTAATACAGTATCGAAACTCAACAAGGAAACTCAACCTGAACCAGTAATATATTAGAATAAAAATCATTGCATTATGTAAGCAAAGCATTAAGGAGGCCAATATTCACATTTTTTATCTTATTAGATTTTTCTTCCTGGCTATAAAACAAATAAAACAAATTTCAATTACTGTCCTTTGGCTTAAAATTAAAAGGGCATAGCCCCCGGAATAATTAAAAATAGCACTACGAAAGATGCCAAAGAAGAGTCTTTCAGCTACACGGCAACTGCTTAGTCTGCAACATTAACTAGCTTTCTTTTTATAATTCTTTGGCTACAATACCAGCAAATCTTTAAAAGGTTGAGCAAGAAGACTCAATCGCTCTCTTGCATTCAACTCTCCCTTTAATTTTTCCTTTAGCTTACAGCTCATTTCTAAAGTTATTTGATTCTGTTATCTGCTGCTTGTCTGATGAAACATACGATATTTGTTGAACATAACTTTCAACAAATCTTTTTAAATATAAGTCAGCACTTTATAAGTTGTGATCCTTAAAAGTAAATTTTATTTTGTTTACTTAAACATCTTTATATGACCATCCAACTCAAACATAGCAACTCCAACCTTGTAAGAGTGGCAATATAGACGCAATCATAATAGCCACTTGATCTGCTCCATGTCAGCCTGGGGTTTCCAGATCCATTGACAGAATATATACTAGTGACTAGTTTGACTTTTGATTTGTATTTTATGTGCTATGGATGTCTGAAATAGAATCTAAATTTTATTTCTGGGCTTCCGAGCCTTCATTTAATGCAGCAAAGGCCTTTCTTCTTTTCTGTCCATAAATATCCATTGTCCTATTAATATTTTATCGCCAAATTCAATGGAGAGGGGGAGCTTTTTCAAATAAAATAATCCAGGCAAGATGTAACAATAGAATTAGAATAATTTAGGATATTTGGGACTGTTGCTAAGATTGGATAAAACAGATATACATTTTATTACAAGCAAAAAAATCCTGGGGGAAGGGCTTTGATTTATTCTGTGCTTATTTATGGAGGAAACCTTATGGAAAAAAACTAGGATACTAACTCTAAACTTTATTTAAAAACCAAAAGCAAACCTGTGTTTCATAAATATAAGACACACATCTAGAGTACTATATACTTTTTGGTTTAGAACTTAAGGCATCAAGCTAGAAAACAAGAGAGTATGAATTCTACTCCTGCTTTAGGCAAGAGACAGCTGAGTGACCTTAGGTCAGTCACTTTCTCTCTGCCCTGGGAAAGAGGCAATGGCAAAGCCACTTCTGAAAAACCCTGCCAAAACAACTGCAGGGACTTATCCAGGCACTCTTCAAGAATTGGACAGAATTGAAAAGAAAAAAAAAACTTTTCCATATTAAACAAACATTAATGTAATGATATAATTCTTCTATTAAGTTACTGCATCCTTAGATTTTTATCTATTCTATAGGTAGCAAAAATGTATTCTATATAACTAACAATAATAAAAAATTATAACTGAAATGAAACATTAAACCCCCTTGGGTCTAAAATCCTCTAACAAATTTAATTAGTTAACACCACACCCATCCAGCAAGTCAGCAAACCAACCTCAAATCAGTTCACAATCTAAAAATATACTAGAGGTCCAAAACATTCTTAAATGATATTATGTACAGTAAATGAAACACATTGCTAATTGATAGTTTTATGAGTATTTGCCAGTACTCAAGCAATTTTGGTTACACCACAGCTATACTGGAACACCAGGTTGGAACATAAACAGCCATTCACACATAAACAACCAGCTCTCTCAGGTGGCACTGAAAAGTCTAATACATAGATGTAACAGCCATCATACACCTGTGTGTGCTCAGGTGATACATCTGATTTAATCTGCAAAAAAATGTTAATACTTAACATTTATATTAGAATGCTGCAACAGTCATAAGTCACTTTTTTCAGTGCTATTGTAACATTGAATGGTCACTAAATGAGTAGTCATAAGTCAAGGACTACATGTATAAAACCACGTATGACTAAAAGTTGATGGCTTTGTTCAACATTACGGCAATATATTCCATGAATTAGTTTGACAACAATTGCACTCTTCAGTAACTGGTATTACTGCCAAGAAAAAAATATAGTAGCAAAATAAAACAAATCTAGAATACATAACTCTTAAAGAAAGCTTGACTTATAATAACTGCATTGGCTGCACTAATTGTTGCATTTAGCAGCAGCAACATATGTGCTAGTTATCCAAACCTCCAGCTTTTCAAACAAAAATAACTTACTAAAAATGTTTAACCAAAAGAACTTAAAATTAGAATGTTGCCTGAGGTTTTTCATTAGTATTAAATTGCCACATAAGCACCCTTGTTACAAATAGCCTGAAGAAAGGTAAAACCAATAATGTGTATGTACATAATTAGGTTTTTTTCTCAAGTTGATTAAGTATATACCTCACTAAGTTTTAATATCATTTGTTCCATTTTGAGTGAGCCTTGTACACAAATTCAGGCATTAAGCTACAATTAATTATCTTACTTTGGATCCCTGCAATGTAGTTTAACAAACCAGTGAAGGAAATCATGGTTTAGATTTAGAACAATGTGTCAATGTACCATGTGAAATACACACCTTTCATGAGTTAAAATAAAATTTCATCAAGTATGCACTGCCAGACAGATGGCTCATAGAGCTTCACATGAAAAGACATCAGTTTTTCTTTTTCTCTTCCAAAAGCCTTGACTGGAAGTGCTGTTATTTAAGTAATCCATACTGTTTTTATGTTACAATCATAAACACATTTACTTGAAAGTTAATCTCATGCAAATCAGAACTTTTAATTTAGTTTAGTTCAATCTTGATAAATCTGAGCTATTAGTGGAAAGCAATATTCTTACTTACACAAGACTATTCAAGGCAAACCTATTTATATTACCATCGCTGGCTTGGTTTGTATTACTTAACATCCTTTGATCTTTTATAAATCAGGGGCACTTAACGACCAAGAAAATCTGAGTAGGCTATAAACAAAGGCAAATAAGGCACGTCTCTCAGGATCTACAGAGAATGATCATAGTCATAAAAAAAATTAAGAATAAATTCTCTCCAGAACGTTTCACTTCGACACAACGAACATCGTTTTCACAAGTCCCCATCAACCTTACTATAACCAAGAAACTGAAGAGCAGCTCCTCAATCCCTTCTCTATTCGATTTCCTTGCGCCAAACCGCAATTGCCTCATTCCCCCCAACCTAGCAAAAGACTTTCCCGTCTTTTCTCCTGCAAATTTAATTCAAAAGCCTCTCTCCTCCCGGGGGGGGGGGGGGGATCCTGTTGTGCTCGCCTGTCTCGCTCAACGCCCGCCGAGCCAACGCTTCGGATGCTCCGCACACAAGCCCGCAAAGAAAGCCAGGGAGCGCCAATCTGTCCGATGACAGCTGGCTGGAGGCGGCGGCACCAACAGCGGCAACAGGGCTAGCATCCATTCCTGCCCTTGTCAATAAACGGAGGTCCCCGGTCGCACCGCAGCCTCGGAGGATGCCAGCAGGCAAGATGCCTCCAATCTCTGCCAGCAAACACACGGGACTCGAGTTCCCCGCCGGACAGTCTGGTGCCTCCGGCTCTTCCCCACCCCCGAAGAGAAGAAAATGAGGAAGGAGCTCGGGAGAAAGAGCCCAAAATGGCAAAAGCAAACAGGGAACAAACCAGACTCCTCCACTGGGGCGCCTTCCTTCGCGGGGAAGCTGCCTAGCAGGCATCCAGTGCAAGAGGGCGACGAAAGCCCGAGAGTGGCAGATGCAACAGCAGCAGCGGGGATGAAGCTCAGCCCGAGGCGACCCCGATGTATCCGCCTTTTCTCTCGGCGCTCCTCGGAAGCGGTCCGAGGCAGAAACTCAGAAGCCGAGCTGCAAACGCGGCGGCCGGAGGAGTACGGGGGGCTCCTCCTTACGCAGCCTGTCCGAGCCCCGCTACTGTGCACCGGACACCCGGACCCCTTTTCCTCTCGAGCCAGCAGCCCAGCGTCCCCTTCCCGGGCTCCGACCGCGAAACTCGTCCCCCCTCCCCCACGTCCCCCAGCACGAGGAACTGGCGCCGTACCTGCCCTCTTCTCGGCTGCTGCCGCTTTCCCCACCGCGAGGGTTTTTCCCTCACTCGAAACCTCCCGCTCCTCTCGTCATCTAAAATGGCGGCCAGGGGAACAGCCAGACATTTATTGCAAACGCATCGAAGCTCTCGGCGCTCGATTTCTCCAGTCCGGAGCGCCGAGACTTCACCCTGTCGAGCGGCTTTCTGCCCCGCCCCCTGGGGCTGTCTGCCTGTCTCGGACGCCATTTGCGACTCCTGCCTGGGAATGTGGGGTGGTTGAGTGAGGGGAGGGGGTGTGGCCAGAAATCTCCCCCCTCCCCCGGCCAGGCAGGTGATCAGCCGTGGTTAGGAAGGTGGCTGGCAGGTGCCCCGTGTTGTTGCTCCTTAATCTTGTTTAGACGGATTAAGTTTCCCAAATGTGCCTCGTTTTCTTGTAGGTCTTCTTATCTATCTAATCAATGGAACATCAAGAGGGGCGCTTATAGCCCTCCGTTGCCCTGCCGTTTCCAGTTGATATTGCCAAGGAATGTCTTATTGCTCATCCCTACATTTCTGAAACCGGAGAGATACTACGACTAGAAGCAATGGATTTATCGAGGGCTGTGTTAATATAAGACTCCTTCGCGTGGTGTGCTGAATTAATCCAGATGCGGGGCGGGGGTGTCTCAAAATTCAGGGAACCGCAAACTAAAGTACTGAGTAAGTTTGCCCTACTCGCTAAACAAGCACGCTTGAGCTTATTATGTATGGCAAACCCAACATGTCGCATAGAAAGAGGTAGACGATTTTAATCAACAAAATCCGAACAATTTTAAGGTGTGCTCATAAATCATAGAGAAAAGTAAAGTCCTTCGGCTTGTTATGTAAACGAAGCCCTGATTTGATTTAGCATGTGGAAGCCCGCTAAAATGTGGCTTATTCAGCACAATTTAAACCATAGTATAGTGTGATGATTGAATCCTAGCATTTTGTAATAATTTCCAAAGGAATGTCCATGTTACGTACTTAGTTTAAGACCGGGGCAAGATTAATAGGCAAAGAATCGAGCTTTTCACTTCGGAAGTTCCCAAATCAGCCCAACCGACATTTTAAAAATAATGGAGCAGTTCCTGAAAAAATAATGCAGAGGGCAATTACAATTTAGCCTGCAGCATATCCAAATTTTTAAAAGAACAAAAGCTGTTTAGAATGGGAAGGGAAAGGAAGGAGAAGTGTGAGGGGGAAAGTGTAACCAAAGGGAATGGAAAGTAGAAGAAATCTGAGGGGGAGATTGTGATCCAATTAATGTCTATTTATCCTTAACAGCACCATTGGGAGCACAAAAGAAAAGTATTTCAACGCTTCAGAACTTAAGGATCCTTCTACACTACATTTTTCTATCTCTTTCCTTTTAAGGCAGATTTGAAACACATTTGTCTTCACTGCTACTGCTCTTCCAGTGCAGAAAATATATGGAGAACACCAGAATTCATTATACTCCTTTCACCTGACCAAAAAGTGCAAAAAAAAAAAAAATGTCAGCGTCCCATTGATGGAAAAAAATCTAAGCTGCCTTGCATTTGCTTTGCTGCATACAAAAGTATCTAAAATGTAATGATTTTATACTGGCAGTTTTGTGGTTGGTGACTTCTCAATATAGTGTGCTATAGTGCTATGCTGCTATAATAGCTAGAGTGGGGGAATAAGTCCTAAGCAGTGCACACAAATACCAGAAGTTCTATTTCAAAATGCAGCCAAGGGTTAACTGGACTGTTTTGACATGTGCAATTCCTTGCACCCCTTGCAGGGGTGAAATTGACACACATTCTTCCCCCTTCTCTTTGGCAGGAGGCCAGTCAACATGCAAAATGCTAGACTGCTTGCATTTTTTCCAATGCCTCCTTTGAAAAGAAAGATTGCTTGAGCCAAGAGAAGGCCAGTGAGAGAATGGACCTCCCGCAATCTCAAGTGTTGTATAGAGTAACTTTTCTCAGAGTTTAAAATAATGTGGTTCAGTGCCAGAAAAAGCTGAAATGCTATCAAAGAGCTAACCATATCTGATTGGACAGATTTAGTTTTGAACTGAGGCAAAACCTTTGTGTAGAATTAAATGTTTTAATACAACTTCTTGAAGATTATTTTGTTTTCTGGTCTGTACTCTATCAATTACACTAATTTTTTACCTTCATATAAAACATGTACTATAAATACCATGCATATTTGTATGATAGGACAAACCACTCTGGTTGTTTAATGAGGACATACAGTCTGCTTTCCTAATCCTTTCCTGTACAGCTTCATTTTCCCTAACTATTGTCAGCAACATTCTTTGGCTAAGCATGTTGTTTCAACTTGGTTCATTTTTGTTTAAAACTATTCAGAATTTGAAATGCATAAGTTATCGTGTTATCTGTGAGAACCTGAGAATCAGTTTGGTGTAGTGGTTAAGGCAGGAATGTTAAACTCGTGTCATCACAGTGACACCACGTGACCTATCGGTACTTTTCCCCCCTTTGCTAAACCAGGCATGGGCATGGCCAGCATGTGACACATCTGGCCTGCTGGCCAGGAGTTTGATAGCCCTGGGTTAAGGCATCAGGCTAGAAAGCAAGAAACAATGAGTCTCAAGTCCTGCCTTAGCCATGAAAGCCAGCTGGATAACTTTGGGCCGGTCACCCTCTTTGAATATCTTTTAACTTAAAGGAAAGATTTAGGATTCAATGTACTTATTTTGTTTCCTTCTTCCAATCTATTTTGTTTAGTTTTGTAAATGCTGAGTTCATACATTATACTAAGCAGTAATATAATTTCTTAGCGATCCACTTATTGTGAATTTAAAACATAGTTTATTATGTAGTAGCTTATGCTGCCACAGCTCTTTATGTTTTGTATCATGGCTTGGCGTATGTAAATCAGCTAATGATTGATAAGGCATTTGTACATATATTAAAAACCTTTAAAAGGAAAATTGTTTCACTAAATTCACTGGAATGCACATATCAGTACACATTTACAGGATCATGCTGTACTTCAATTAAAACATATTATACTGGCATATAGTTTGTGTAAGGCGGGCTATTTATGATATTGTTCCAGAATTGTATTGCTATAGTAGCCATTTATAAATTACTGAACAGGGCTACAGTATCTTTGTTAATATTATGCTTTCATTCATGTTCACATACCTCTAGTGGCTTCATAAGAAATTGTTTTTATAAAGACACTCCATTCTAAATCTGAAACAATTGTGGCAAACAATGCTTAGCAAAGATCATGTGAATTCAATTTTTTTCCAGTTTTTGCTTGGTGAAGGCCTCCCAAATTGTGTAACATTTCCCATGGATCTGGGCCAGTTTCCAAGGCAGTTCAACCCTGCTGCCACATTTCATCTCTCCTGGCTTCCAGCCATCCATGTTTTTAATCTGCAATTCTCTTAGGCCTTCAGTCCACGGTATTGACTTTGCTATTTAAATATGAGGTTTGCCTGCTTCAGACAGTCTAGTTCAATCATGATGGTTTTACTATATGAATGCCTGCCTAAAATAAGTTGTATGCTCAGCTTTATCCATTAACATTCATAATACACTTCCTGAGGGATTCGGTGGAATTATACCAGAGATATGTTGGTGAAATGTTTAACCTTTAGAATATTTTGCTTGTTAAAAATATTCATTCCTGGCAAAAGTTTGCATAACAGATTCTTCCAGGAAGGCTGGAGCATTTTAATCCTATTAACTGATTGCCTGTGATGTGTTATCCTGTTTTACCATGTTCTAAAAAATATATGACACATAGTTTACCACCCATTGGGATATATAACACTTTTTATTTTGTGCCTTATTGGTCGGCATTTTTGAGCATTTATTTTTCTTCATATCAATAGTGTGTATATGCTAAATTCATGTCCATTATTTATATGTACTAACCAATGAAGAAAGTTGATGTTTTATTTATCCATTTCCACAAAATACGTATTATGTATTTGACATGCAAAATTGTGACACTAAAAAAAAGCTTCTGTATGAACACCTGTACTGCCTGTGGGAATCCCACAGGGAATCCCAATTTGTTGTCCAACTCTTCCAATTTAAAGAAGTATGTGTTTGTGTGCTGGATGAATCATCCAAATTACCTAGCTTTGTTTTGTCACAATTCTATTCAGGGAGGCTGATGTAATTTTCTTCCTGAAGACTCATTAGGAAAGTACCTGAATAATTCTCTGGTTAATGTGTTTGTATTTGTCTGCGTGGAGAGAGTATAGAACATGCATGTAGATCTAGAATTTTACTTAAACTGGATGTTGAAATGCTATTCCGCTTAGAATTGCTGTAATTAAGGATAATAATTAAGGATAATATTCAGAATCTAAGCTTTTCCCCACATATTAAGAATGATCACAGAAGAAATATGCACATATTCCCAGAAAAGTATGCAAGCAGAAAATATTGTTTGTTCTGAATGAGGTAAGAAAAAGCCTAACTTTATTCTTATGAGGATTGCCCTGTTGCTTGTTTTAAATTTGGTGCTAGCCTACTGCTGTGCCAGAATGGTTTTTTTTAAAAAAAAAAACAGAAACTGCTGTGAAAGTCTGACTCACAGATGAACACTATACAGAAGCCTGATGATGGCAGATGAGATTCTGCCGAAACCTTGCTACAACTTTAAAAGCACAACTATAATGACGTGGGAAAATACCTGAACAAAGCTGAATACCATACATATAAATACCCGCAAAAACTTAAGAAAACACACACACACATACTCAGCAGACCATTGATTTCCAATGTATTTACAGAAATGCTCCCTGTTGAGAATGACTGAGGCAAGATGTCTTAAGAGAAACTTCCTCCTGATATTCATCTCTGGTTCTTTTTCATGCACTCACACTGTCACCAAGGATCATGGGGCTTGCTTCAAGGATCATTTCCCTGCTCACAAACATACTAGTTCTTCAATGCTGCCTTTTCAGGTATCTTCAACTTTTCTTCATCTGCTACAATCAACCACAGTCCTCATAATACTCACTAGCCAATTATCTCTTATGTCAATTGCCTTCCCCTGGTTTTTAAGAACGGCATTATTTCAATCCTTTAAGAAGCAACAGCTAGTACTCCCCACTAGGTCAGGTTCTCATAAAGGAGATTGGTTCAGCTATCTGCTGTTTGAC